TTTGAAATGCTGCTGACCAGCAAAGCTCACTGCACTACTGGTTCCAAAGGTTTACACTGGGCGTCAGGCCTGTAGGAAGAGGCATGTGTGGTTGTCATCTCTCCAGTTTTTTTGCTCCACTAGAGGTCAAAGTGAGCAAATGTAGCTCACAGTCCCAAATATACAGAGATAGTACCATCAGAGAGAATATTCCAATGGTCTTCTGGCTCTCTTCTAGTAATTGAGAAGATTTAAACACATCCAATCATTTCTTAAAGATGGATTTCCTAAATTTGTAATCATTACTCTATAGCAAAAGTATCTGGCCATCTATGCTCCTTGTTAATAGATTAAGGTGGAATAATGTGTAAGAAGATAGCCCTGAGGGTGCTTGTGGCTCTTCATAATGTTCAATTAAATTAACACTTGAAAGTCTACGAGAGAAGTAAAAGTATACACAGCAGGAAAGACCATGGGTGTGGGACAGCCATTAAACTAGGAAACTAGCTGAAAACTGAAAAAAAAGGAATCAATGCAAAATGAGCTGGACTAATACTCCACTGTGTAAAACTACCACATCTTTTTCATCCATTCCTTGGGTGATGGGCATCTTGGTTGCTTCCAAGATTTGGTTATGACATATTGTGCTGCTATAAACATGGGTGCACATATAGCATTGTGGTACAATGTTTTCTGTTCTTTTGGGAAAATATGCAAAAGGGGAGTAGCTGGATTGAATGGGATTTCCAGTTCTAGTTTTTTTGAGGAGTCTCCTCACTGATATCTATAGTGGTTGTGTCAGTCTACATTCCCACAAGCAGTGGAGAAGTGTTCATTTTTCCCCACATCCTCTCCAGAATTTGTTATTAGTTGATTTCTGTATGATAGCCATTCTTTCAGGGGTGAGATGGTATCGCAGTGTTGTTTTAATTTACATTTATCGAATGGCCAGTGATGTGGAACATTTTCTCAGGTATTTATTTGCCTCTTATATTTCTTCCTCTGAGAAGTGTGTAATCATCTCAGATGCCCATTTGGGATTTGGTCTCTAAATTTGGGATCCCTAAGGTTTTTAGTTCTTTATATATTCTAGATAGAAGACCTTTGAGTGATTATTGATTAAGATTTTTTCCCAATTTGTGGGTTTTCCTTTCATTCTGTTGGTGATTTCTTTTGATATGCAGAAACTTCTCAACAAGAGGAGGTCCCAGTTGTTGATTCTTTGGATTATTTCCTGTGAAGTTTGAGTTTTGTACATGAACTATCTGTGTACCCTTATGTTTTCAAGATTTCTACCTACTTTCTCTTCCATGAGATTTTGTGTTTCTGTTTGAATGTTTAGATTTTTAATCCATTTTGACTTTAGTTTAGTGCATGGTGATAGACCCAGGTCTAGCTTTTAGTTTTCGGCATGTGGAGAGCCAGTTTTTCCAGCACCATTTGTTAAAGATGGTATTTTTCTTCCAGTAAACACATTTGGCCCAATGAATTATTACTCAGCTATAAAGAAAGACAAACTCAAACCCTTCATAGGTAAGGGGATGAAACTAGAGGCTATCCTCATAAGTGAAATAAATCAGACCTACATGTGCAAATATCACATTGTCTTCGTAGTATAAGAACTCAAAAGAAGAAATAAAACCTGAGAGGTATAACAGAAATAGTAAAATAGAAAGAAATGGAATTTGAGGATCAAACAACAAAGATGAGAGAAAGGAGAAAGATAGGAGAAAAGGTAGGGGGAAAATGCAAGTATATGTGCAGGATGGCTGAGGTGATTGTACTAAAAATTTCTATCAGTTTTTTTGAAAATAGCAGTTAATACAATATAAATGTATTCATTACTGTAACTGTCCTACTAACCTCTTTGAAACTGTCTCATTGCTACTTCTGTCTCAATAAAATTAGTATAAAAAAAGAAAACAGCAGTTCATGTGTAGAATTTTCACCATGACTAACTGTGTATGCTGATATTTGTGATCGAAGCAACTACATCAAGGGCAGCAATGAGTAATCCATAAACATGCTTGAATACCTGTCATCTTGGTCTCCTAAATGTGTACTGTTTCTAATGTCATATTAATTATTACTACGCTCTCTTTAAAACATTTTTTTAAAAGGTAAGAAAAGGAGAAAAGAAAGACAAGAACAAAACTTTAAGGTTTCTTGAAAGTAAGCTGCAATATGCAACCATATGTTCAGTCCTACATAACTATGTTATTAATCTAAGCAACAGGTTTGATAAAAATATCATATCAACCATTGTTGATCAGCTGCTCTTGTTTTGAAAATCTGCAACATATATTAGTGTGTTACCCTGTTTCTGATTTTTGTTCTTGCTTTTGTTTTTACTTTTCAAAATAAAATTAAATTAAATTTTATGAAATGAGGGAGGTTTTAGGTTTATATTTCTTAAATTTCGCTTAATAGAAGACAGAAAATGATTCTGAATATCATTCAGGGTCTTTATGGAAATGATAAAGGTTAAATGAAGTCTGTAAATATCAGCGATCTGATCTGACAACTAGTGCTCCCACAGTAAGAGAAACCAGAGCACAAGTTTCCTTTCCAGCCTGTGAGGTGCACGGTGGCTATCTCCAACTCGGGGAGACAGACATTGTTCTGTGCTATGAACCTCACCTTGGTCTTCCAGTTTCTTGGATCATGAGGAAATTTTCATGGTTTAGAAGTACCTGTTCTATGGTATTCTATTACGGCAGTCCGAATTAATATACAGGAAAATTCTTTAAAATGTTGCATTGGGGCCTGCCCCTTAGCTCAGTTCTTTAAGTGGCTGCTTCAGCAAAGCAGGCACGCTCAGGTTGCTGTGGTTCCATCCCCGGAACTCAAGCCAGCCAAACCTGCCCTGAAGGCATTCGCAGCAAAATTAAAAAAAAATCTGTTGCATGATGGCATCTCGGAGGCTCCTGCCAAGGCTTCCCATGCTGAGTAACTGCTGGAGTCCTGAAAATCCTAGCAGTTGCCTGCCTCTAGGTGCCCGAAGGTTCAGGATGTTCTTTTCTAACTTCAGTTCCTAGTGTTTTCTCCCCCTATCACTTTTTGCCCGAGTTCTGAACCCACCCGTGCTGTTCCTGTTTCAGGGTCTCCGCAACAGGACTCCTTAGCCACTCCCCATACTGGCAGGGTGCACTCCCCACTCCCTCAGCTCTCTGCTCCAGGGATGTCATGCCAATGGGCAGGCTGTTGGCCACAGACTTAGAACTGCACACAACACCCCGCCCTACAGTGACTGATCTTTGCTTCCCTTGCTCTTTCTGGCCTCTATGCCTCTGTGACAAACCATGTGCTGTGTGCTTCACTGTCTGTCTCCTTGTTAAGAGCAGAGCCTTTATCTGTTTGGTTCTCCAAGCATCCTGAAGACTTAGGTCAGTACTGGCACTCACAGAACATTCACCAAATAAACCCGGCTGAGGCAAGAAACCTAGGTTCCAGTCTCAGGGCAGCCACTGGAACCACGCGGTTTAGCTTTGGCTGTCTGATTTCCGTGTGTGCAAGTGTGTGTGTGTGTGTGTGTGTGTGTGCACGTGCGCACTCCATAAAAGCGTCTGCTCCCTCTAGACAGAGAACCTCCTGCTTTCCCCGCTTCTGCCTCAGCCCTTCTTCATCTGCACTCGGTCTGTCTCTGGCCCTTCTCCCTTCTCTCTGGCCCTGCCTGCTCCTCCCCTCACGGCACAAGCTCTTCCCTTTCCTACAGTCCTGGTTCATAACGTTAAGCAGGACACATCTGGGCAGTTTTAATTATTTTGATTCCTTCACAAAAATGGATAAAGGTGTTCTCTGACAGAATTGTGTCCTTCAGTCTTATGTAGTATCTACAGCTCTGATTTCTGGCTCTCAAATCTATGCTGAAATAATATGTGAATTTATAAAAACACTGAGCTAGAATTTGTCATATGTTCTCTAAATGAATATTTACTTCTTTCTACAAATGTCATTCAATTTAGAGACACAGAGCTCCTCTTTTACTGCTTAAGTGATCTCACTGCTTCCTCCTTTTATTATTTATCTCAAAATGCCTTTTCATATAATATACTGTTTATGAAACTGAAGTATCCTTTTTCTAAACATCAGTTTAAAAGACCCGTATTCTCACAATTTGTATCATCTTTTCTAACTTAAACATATGCTTTCCTTTTAGCAACAAAATGTTTGGTTTTCAGTGTTGTCAAGAATTACTACAGTAAGTCAAAATCAACGTTTCTAATTAGGAGAGTGAATCAATTAGATTTCCTGAAATAAGTTTAGATTTTAAGTGATTTGAATTATTGGGAGATATTTACTAAGCATCATGCACAACTATTGATTAGTAAGCAAAATGTGAAAAATAAAGCAATCTCTTCTTCCAGTCTACAAGTTAGTAGAAATTGATTCATGTTGAAATGATAAGCTTTAATACAAAACTAAATTTAAAAACAATTCTTCAGTAGGCTTTTAAATTCTCTTTTTTTGTGGTCTCAGATATATCCAATCCCATACTTATATTATCCTCTTTTTCATTAAACAAATTACTTATCACATTAATATGTCTGGAGTTATTTTCCCAGTTTAGCGGCGGTCACACAGCGTGATGCATTCTTAATGTAAACATTATAAGCACGTATATATAAAAACAGTCTTTTCCGATCTACAAATTACATTTCTACTCCTAAAACAAAGTAGAAAAGGCACGTAATGCACAGAGGAAAGCAAGTTTAGCCAAGGGCTTGATTGTAGCTTCTGCGCAGAACATTCCCAAATGCAGCGGTCGAGCAGGCGGCAGCAGCTCCTGGCTCAGCTGCACTCGTACCTGGGAGAAAGCCTGCCGCACCCCAGTGCTCTCACCTAGAGACTCCACCCCGCGGCCAACTTGGAAGAGGCGACCTGATTGGCTGCAAAGTGATGGACGCGAGCAGGCCCCGCCCACCGCGAGCCGCCTCCGGCCGGCTCCAAGCCGCTTTCCGATTGGGTCCTGCGGCAAGGCGCAGGGTCGACTTCGGAGCCGACTTCCGGTTCCGGGTCGCGGACGGCAATGGCGGCGGCCCGGTGCTGGAGGCTGGCGCCCTGCGGGCCGTCGCTGCACACCGCGGCCGAGGCGGCCCCCGCGGCCACGGCCTCCG